CCCACCCCATATACCCGCCTTGACTCGCACACCCTCTGCTCTATATCCCCCACTGCAACTCCTACCCCACATACCCACCCCCTGCTCTATACTCCCACCCCATACACCCACCCACGTCCCCACACCCACCCTCTGCTCTACACACTGGAGGGCAGAGGGTCAGAAGTGAGGGGCACTAGGCCGGGACTGGCCATCGACGTTCACAAATGGGTCCTGGTCCAAAAAAGGTGAGAACCACTGATCTAATCCAACCCCCTGCTCAAAGCAGAACCATTTTTGTTGCTTGCTTGCTTTTTAAGTTTTCCACTCTTAAACACTGGCAGTTCTGCCTTGCCTTGCATGTGAGGCTCTCCGAGAGCTCTGCGAATATGAATTCTCTAAGCTGACTCATTTCAAACTATGCCAGTTTCTAATACCGCAAATAGTACAGCCCATATTATTTTTAGCAATGTATTTAACATAGACAAACCAGCATGTTTTCTCCTCATTTTGTTCCCCGATGCAAGCGCAGGTTGTTTTTTTTTTGTCTTAGCGTCCCAAAATAATCCACGCTGGGAATGACACCCACCATGGAAAGTTTCAGCCTCAAGAATATAAGAGCAAAGCCTAAATAATATGAGAGCAAGTTCAGCAAAGTTACGAGAATGGAGTCTTGTAGCAGAAAGCACCAGGCAACTGTCAGTATAGGTATGACTACCAGTACATTATAATTTATGCTTACTTTTACAAGGGCTTTTCTGCAGCCCAACACTGGGAAATAGAAAGTGAATATGATACTTGACATGGGTGCAGACTCCATACTTTAAAAAGGGACATAAAACTCCAGGGAAAGTTAAGTAGAGTGATACAGGGATTTGAAAATAATAATAATTTTAAAAATTGAAACAATGCTTTTGAGCCTAAAGACATAAGACTCCTGGGGAACACAATTAGGAAAATTCCTAAAGAAAAATAATATTTGAGAAATAAAGACTTTACATTAGCTGCAAAATCTTACTGTGTAGCCATCAAGTGTGGCAGCATCCAAGCTGCCTCACATCCTTTCTTACTCTTCCCACCCATGCCTTACTGACTGCCTTTTCACTTTTTGATCACTTCAAATTAAAGAAATTAGAAGTACTAGTGAGAAAACGGCAGGATAGAGATGCTAAAGTCTCTCTCAAGGCGTACTGTAAGGTCATAGTGAACCTAAGATAGCCCACCACACCCAGATTCAAGTCCTATTCACAGTGACATCTTCCTTCTCCTCGGTCTATTTCCATTTCACAGGAAGAGAAAGTGATCGCACTTTGATATATCAAAGGACTTTTTTAATGATGCTTATGAAACCCTTTGAAGATAAAAATTTCCATAAAAGTGCTAATTATGTACTGCTTCTCAGAATGAAGCCCAGTGTTGGTATGGTATGACAGTATGAACTCCAAAGATTTGAGAGTGTATGGAGATGGGCATAGCCTAACTAAGACAAGTAGAAGCAAAGCAAATAGAGGTTCTGTTTATTCATTTTATTTGGGCGGGGGGAGGGGGTCACTGTAACACTGGACTTCCAGGGTGGTCTTTTATACCACAAGATAATTGAAAAGGGAGTAAAAAAGGTCTTTTCCCTTTACGCTTCCGATTTTCTAAGCCATTCTCACAGTTTTTGAATATTTGGAGTTGATAGTGTACTGGGAGCAGGATAAGCCAAAGCCTTGATTTGAACGCAAACTTCCAGTTATGTAAAATTTTTGAGTTGTGGTTAAAAAAAAAAGCAAAAAAAAAGCAGAAGTTCTCTTTGTGGTCCTTTCACCGGCTGAGGGTGGTTCATGCATTGGAGGGTAACCATGATGAGTCTGGCTGCAGTGAGTTTGTACAGATGTTCTGAACATGTTCTTCCTTTGAGGTCTTTTGACTTCAATATTATAGATTTCAGGAAGCTGATGGACATGTTCCTCAAGCCTGTTGCTCCCTCCATGAGACTCATGTATCATTCTGGTTTCAGCTGTGTTTGGGTGGGACTTGGATGTCTCTCTGGCTCACTGCCTCCACAAGTCAGATTAAGAGGGGAGGGGAACGTGGTGTAACCCACCACTGGTGCCAAAGCATACTGTGCCTCAAAGCAGGTTGTACAGGACTTTCTGACCTGATATTCTAGAGCTCCGTGCATGCTTTGATTATCAGTGACAGAGCACCATCTTGAAATTAAAATCTTCATCATCAGACTGATGAATTAAGTCCTTATGGAAAAGAATAGGACAGCTTGTATGTATCAGAGTTTTAGCTTTGGACTTTCTGCAAGCACCATGGTATAAGGGATATGAATTACACATTGTTCTTCACAGCCACGAGGCTTACAAGATTTAGGGACAGTTTTTCAAAAGAGCTCTGCACATTGGATACCAAGCAATTTAGAAAAATCTAATCACAAGAAAGGCTACTAGGCAAGCATTTCTGAAAAGTCTGGTGTGAAATTCTCATCTCACTGACTTCCCAAGGGTCAGGATTTCAACCTTATTTTTTAATTAGGTGCCTAACCAGGATTTGAGCCTTTCTGTCTCCAACTCTGGCTGCTGAGCACTTAAAAGTTCAGCCCAAAGCTCTTCAGAAAAAATCTCACTGACATTTTTAATCCCCAATAATGTTAGCTAAGATCCTGAAATATAAGGAAGTCACAAAAATAAAAAACCCTGGCTGACTAAGCTGCACTGCCTGGAAACCAGGTCACTCCATGCCCTGATGCCATGCAAAGCACCCTTTCCACTAAGTGTTCCATTGTGTGCATTCAGTCAACAGTGACAAAAAAATAAATTATATTCTAGGTATGAAATAGGTGGAAGAATTACCCTGAACGCAAGCTAAGAACAATCAATAACTGACATCATCCTTAAGCAATGCCCTTAGAGGAACCTATGTTGCACAGGTAAAGATGAACAGCTTAATGGGGAAGGAGAAGAGCCCTGCTCTCTGTGAGGCTGGCTAAATTTTCAGGAGCAGTATTCCTACCCAAACCATTTCAAATGGCAACTCAGGCCTCTGAAATATTGAGGTGGGCTTAATAGTCATTAAAAAGGGCGGGAGGGAGTTTGTAAGAAATGTCTTTTCTATTTCCCCTTTCTCTTTTCTATTCACATAATTAAGCTTTTGGCCACAAATGTGAGAGAGAAACTTGTTTTTTTGTTTGTTTTAAAGAGCAAAAGCTGATAATTCTCATGCAATCACTTGACTCCAGTAACTGCGGTTTTGCAAAAAGAAACCAAACATCATAAGACTTAAGTAGGGAAGTTTGCAAGATAGACACAGAGTAAAATTGTCCCAGATTAAAATATGCACAATGTATGCTTTGTGCACTCAAACCTCAGTTGCCACTTTTGGAAAACTTGTCTTTACATAGGAAGGCAGCTCATACTCACAGGATCACATCCTCAAAGTCCTGATGCTTTTTGCCACCAAAGCCCTGCTTTCTTAAGCAAACTGGAACTTGACTTGGCAGTACATCACAAAGAGTTTTATATTATTTACTATCACATTCACTAGCTTGGTCATATGAGATGCCCCCAAAGTCATGGATATTTTATTTACAAACCTAAGGACATCTAAATCCATGCCTAATGAAAACAAGAGGTCAGCCTTGTCTTAAAATGTCTTGCTGGTGACTCCACAGACAAGATAGCTTTGCAATCTAGCCAACCCTGCGAGTTCAAAAGCCTTGAGAAAACTCCTGTCTGCCCTCAAAACATGAGATTGGCTTAAAAACCATGCCAAAGGTTTAAAAAGAACAAATCCTGAGTTTTGATCCCTCAGCTGATTTTTTATAACTCCTGCCACCATGTGCTGGGGTATATTGTCCCAAATACCTGTTGAAAATTCAAGGTAAACATATAAAACGTGCACCAAAAATGGAGTCTCTTGTATATCTGAGCATGTGTCCCACATCACCTCCCAACTTCCTCCAAGTGTTTAGATTCTCCCCTACTCTAGTCTGCTCCTGCTCTCTCAGAAAAAAAAAAGTCCTGTTAAGTTCTGTGTTATATGATAGATGG